GCATTGGATAGCTGGCCAATCAGAGCACACCTCGCTTTTCAGACTGATGAGCTTTGTAAAAATCGACGCGTTTCAGAAAGGCGGGGCATAGAGGAATGTACAGAATGTACAGTATGTGGAAAATAATGTGTTTTTGAACCTTAAACCGCATAAACACATTTCATTACACCAAATACACAAAATAATGTTCTTTTTAGCAACACCATATGGCCCCTTTAAAGATCTATAACAAAAATAGAGCAAGCTTTGGCAATAACTAAGCGAATATTTAATTACAACAATAATTTCTCACTAGAAATGACATTAAAAGTGGAAAAATTTGGTCAAAAGTACATTTACACACAAACTGACCATCAGCTGCAACTTTCAGAACTTTAATTTTTATTTTTTAGCTTAATTGTCACGAAATCGAATGCACAGGATTGTGGGATATCAAGGGCAGGAAAAGAGACATCTGTGCTGCATTCAAGAATCGATCAGATGAAGGCATCTCAGTAGACAGGATGTGACATGATGATCATTGGATTCAGACGTCTTGTTGCCTTCCCCATATGCTGCCTGCAGAGAATGCATTTTTCAGCTTTCAGACACAGCCTGTATACGAATCATTTATTTCCACAGTATGTAAAGCTCTGAAGCTTTTGTGCGTAATATCTGCGCAGTTGTATATAGTATGAATGTATGTACTGTAGTATTAAGTATTCAGAATCTCGCTGTAAGTATTAGGTCATCCAGATACTTGTGTTTTTTTCACATACCATTTTTCGCCTACTAGTAGAGAAGTATGCATATTTGAATGTAGCCGATGACTGTTGTTAAACAGGTTTCCCCAAACACTACCCCTCCTTTACCATTGGTAGAACAAACAGAGAGCCCCACCCCAAACTCACGCCATTGGCTGAGCTGTTGCTGTGTCAGGCTGGCTGCACAAACAAACAGAGCAATAAAGCCACAGAGAAATGTTTACACTTTCCAGGAGAAGCTACCTACACATTTCTTCCTTGTATTACAAAGTTAAGCTGGGACAAACAGAAATCCATAGCTCACACAGCTATAAACTATTAGATGAGTGGTTACCAGATGAAGTTATTCATATATGAACACATCAACTTCCATTTACACAGTCTGTGATCTCACAGGAGAAGAAAAGAGATAAAAGGAGAGGACAGGAAAAAGACTGAAAGTGTGTGTGTGTGTGTGTACTCATACATGGAGAGGTGGGGGTGAAGAATGGGAGGAGAGAGAGGAAAGAAAAAAGAGAGGAGGGGAAAGAGAGCATGAAAGTGAGGTGTCTTGATCTGTAGTGCACATCTTCACAAACCCTGTCCTGCTGTCTACCATCCCAGCCAGGTAAGAGTGAGCTGTTCACTAGCATGTGATCCACTGTCTGTGTGTGTGAGTGTGTGTCCTGCGACACACTTTCGACACACTTTCCTGCTGTGGCAAAGGTTAAGGCAAGGGTTGCTTTTTTGCTTCTCCACTTTCCTGCTGTGCCTCTATGCAACCTTCCCACACTCCTCTTATGCAGGTTTGACGTCTCTTTGATGAACAATGCTGCAGTGCTTAAGTATTTTAACACATGTGCTGCTGTTAAGTTATTTAACTATTTTCTCCCTCTTCTCATTCATTTTGTGTTTGCATGCAAATGAAATGGAAGATTTCTGACCTCTTTCTGCAGCAGAAGCTCACTGCGGCTTCTTAATTGCTCTCCCTGTAAGTTTAAGCTTAAGTGGCAAAAAAGCCGCAAGCTCATTTTCTTTGGCACTTTTCCGTCTCCCCTGGTTTTATTGTGTCTTGTTCGTGTTGGAAGCAGAGATTTGCTGTGTCTGTTGGATGTTTGAGAAGCGTGTGTCTTTTGACACTGTGCTGGAGAGGGCAAACAGAGCGAGGTTTGCTTTAGGTCAGTGTCATGCAGCATCTGCAACCACTGGCAAGTGCAGGGCAGCAGAAATGCATCCCACAATGTGCCAGACCTTTGTTAACTGTATAAGGTTTGATTTAGTTTCACAGCCCGAAACAGAGATAATGTGGAAAACGTGGGACTTTGCATTTGTACGCATGCAAAATCTCAGTGCAGATGGGAGATCAAAATATTTATAAAAAGGTTTAATAGTCAGCGGATGATGTTTAGGAATGACGACTCCACTGGATAGACAAAGCATTGTTTCTTCAATGCTTTGCTCAGTCTCCCACGAACAAACAGATCTGTTTGTACTGAGGACAAATATTATTGAGCAGTTGTAGCACATGTGCCTGACGCTTGTATGTAACTTACAGTCACTTTCAAGCACGAAACCTGACAAGTTGCAGTAAAACGGCCAGATTACCTTTTCTGGTAAATGCTACATCTGCTGTTCACACATCCAGCAGCTTTCAACAGCTTTTTTTGGGTCCCGTTTACACATCTGCACCATCAGTGCTGTTAAAAACTCTGTGAAGTCATTTGGTGGAAATGGCTTTTAAACAGCTACGCCACAAATCTAGAATCTCAAACTGTTTCAGGATCTGTTGATCAATTCCTTCATCTACCCAGATGGAGAAAAGCTCTTTTGTTTCTAAGTTTGTCCAATTTGACACTTCTTTCCAAAATGTAGATAATGATTTTCATGTGGTGCGACCAACATGCATGAAAAAACAAAACATAAAACAGGAAATGGTGTCATGGAGACGACCCCTGCAGACCCTTGTGAGTGAGCCAAGGTCAATAAGTCTCTTAAAATATCTGATTATTTAACCTTTTTTATGGGAAGGAAAGATTAGTTCAGGCTGTAAATGTCATGTGGTGCAACTCCCCAAAACACGTAATCATATTTATAAATAAATAATTTATTAAAAACCTTTTTAGCTTAAAAATATTTTTAAAATATTTTTTTGAAAATAAGGATTAAAATGTGTAATTGCTTATTACTTTTATTAATATTACTTTTACCTGCTGGTTACACCACATGACATTTGTACATTTGTAAGGCAAGACACCAGGTGAATGTGGTTAAAGGGTTAGTTCACCCAAAAATGAAAATTCTCCTGTGGACGCGCGTTCACGACAGTAGCATGTGGCGGCGCTTACCCAGATATGGGTCAGCGCCAGCGCCGCCACACGCTCGCATCATGATACTGTCGTGAACGCGCGTCCAAAGTGACGCAGTAGAGACGAAAATGTGGAATAAAGTCGTTATTTTTGTTTTCTTTGCGCAAAAAAGTATTCTCGTAGCTTTGTAACTTTACAGTTGAACCACTGATGTCACACGGACTACTTTGTCGATCATCTTGGTACTTTTCTGGACCTTGAACGTGGCAGTTACCTTGCTGTCTATGGGAGGGTCAGAGAGCCCTCAGATTTCATCAAAAATTTCTTAAATTGTGTTCCGAAGATGAACGAAGGTTTTACGGGTTTGGAACAACACGAGGGTGAGTAATTAAAGACAGAATTTTCATTTTTGGGTGAACTAACCCTTTAAAATCAACATACTTCTACAGCTGATTATTCACAGTACATTTGGACAATTGTTTTGTATTACAAGTTTTCTAAAATGTTATGTATGTAAGGTTTATGTTATTTATTTGTTTGTTCTTAGTTTTATTTATTTATTCATTTATCTATGTATTTTTTACTTTCTATCTTGTATTATTTTTTTGTATTTTGTCCTCTATTGTTTTTGAGGTTGTTGTGGTTATATGCTTGTTTTAAGTGTTTTGGCATTAAAAAAAAACAAAAAAAATCAGTGCAATATGGCCGCACCCTGTTGGGACAATGGCGGCTTCACTTTTCTTCAACGGAAGAGATTGAAGGTGCGTCGTGCATCTTTTTTTTTTACAGTCTATGATATAAGCACTATAGTGGAGATTTTTTGGCTCAGTGCAGGAGAAAAAACTTATTTTGAGAAAATGACCTTTTATATGTGTTGTAACTGAAACCGTTTATTTTGGATGTTTTCTTTCCACAAGCATGAAAGAAGTCAAGTAATGGAAAAAAAAATCTAAAATGGACCAGTGCATGAAAATTTTTTTTAGTTTGAAGTGTCTTGCCTTAAATTTAAAATTTTCTAGAAAATAAGTTTACAAAACCACCTGAAACCATCATAAAGACAGATTGCATCTGCACCTTTACAAATTTAAGATGGGCTCAAATACTTTTTTTTTTTTTTGTCAGAGCTCCTCAACCTCATAAGTACTCAAACCATTAATGCTTTAGGTTTTGTTCACAAATAGCATCAATATGGAACTTTTCCAGCAATGTTACGCTGGCAAAATGCCAAGGCTCATTTGCTGGCATTTCTAGCCACACACCGTTCACCTCTAAAGGGAAAAATGCAGTTGGAAACGGCTGCATGTGTGAAAGTGCTGTGAAACTTCAGATTTTCCAAAAGATGCGGAAACCTGATCTGTCAAATATAGGAGAAAGAGACTGAGTTCTTAAGAAAAGGAACGGAAACCACAAAAGGAGTGCACGTTCAGTCCTCACTCGTAAGATTTTATCCATGTCCCATTGAACCTGTGGTCTAGCCGGCTTTAAAACAAGGAGCGTTTAGCTGCTTTCTCACTCCAGAACTATGTCCATTAGACATGAGGTCATTTCTGGTGACTCAAGGCCTCTCTCTTCATGGATCCTAATATATCTGTTCATCATGAGCTCTATTATAACCCAGTCCTCTGCTTTTCCTCAATAACATCAGAGTCACCCTCTACCAGTCCAACCTAAACCTACATTAATGACTCCAAACTTTAACAGGCGAGCATAAAAATACCAGAAGCGGGGATGCGGTGAGCCTGTATCTTTGATCTGCTGGTCTGTCATATGATCGTGGCTCGTTATAAACTATGGGGACGGGGCCACAGCCTCAGTCTGAGCCTGCGGTGATGAACTTCTGCCCTTTGTCGCTTCGCCTCTTTATTAAGAGACAGTGGCAGACGGTGCAGATGCCAGAATCTCATGCAGTCACGCTTTAAACCTTCTGCCGGGGTCTAAGCTGGTCTTGCGTAATACACTCAACATTCAATCACAGGCTATGTGGGATGAAAATAACTCAGTCACACAACCCTTGCTGTTGTGTTATTTTAATTTAGTCGGGAATGAACGGCAAGCCTACGGTTGTTGGGATAATGCGGTCAGCTAGGATGGGGCTGTGGGGTTCAGGGTAAATCTATGCTGTGGTGATGTTGAGTTCATCACACATGCCTTCAACAGCTATTAATTATGTTTTATTTAAGGCATCTAAAGTCTAAAGTTTTATTTAACTGTCTTGTCTTTGTAGACTGTTTGCCAGTCTGGCAAACTATACAATGCATACTATACTATTTTCATTCTATACAACAGAGCAGCACCTCTTTTCAAGCTTTGCCTGAAACACTCTGTTTTAGTTCCTGTCTCTTTAAAGGCAGCTTTACGAAAAAGCCAGTTCTGCTCTGATTGGTCAGCTGGCTCAGTCTGTTGTGATTGGTCAACTGTTTAGAGCATGTGTCAGAAATGTAATAACCTTTACCATAATTGGGTTTCAACTCATGAGTCTTCAGGTGCATATGTAAACAGTATTATATCAATGGTGTGACGTGACATGTGGCCAGGTATGGTTATCCATACTAGGAATTAGTGCTCTGCATTTAACCCATCCAAAGTGCACACACACAGCAGTGAACACACACCCGGAGCAGTGGGCAGCCATTTATGCTGCGGCGCCCGGGGAGCAGTTGGGGGTTCGGTGCCTTGCTCAAGGGCACCTCAGTCGTGGTATTGAAGGTGGGAGAGAGCGCTGTACATTCACTCCCCCCACCTACAATTCCTGCCGGTACGAGACTCGAACCCGCAACCTTTGGGTTACGAGTCCGACTCTCTAACCATTAGGCCACGACTTCCCCATGACTATGGCTTCGGTAGTAAAAGTCCATACAATGTTTTTTCCCTCACAGTGGAAAAAAAATAAAAAATTATATGTTCTCAACACAGTGGGTGCCCTTTAAAACAGGGCATGTCAAGACACGTCACGCCAGATTTAATGTCAATGACATCCGTTGTCAACTGGTTTATGCATGTTACAAGTTCGCCATTACCTTCAAACCTGGTGCAGCACATCTTGCTCCTCCATATTGGTGGTTTTGTGGCTCTTTGGACATTAACAGTCCCAGGCTCAATTCAAATTCACTGTATGCAAAGAAGTGCTCATCAAACATTTTCTTTTTCAGCAGAAGCATACAATTCATACATGTTTCAAATAACATGACCTGAGTAAATGATTGATAGACTTTTCATTTTTGGATGATCAGTCCCTTAAAAGGAATAGTTCACCCAAAAATGAAAATTTGCTGTTGATAAACTCACCCTCAGGCCATTCAAGATGTAGGTGACTGACTTTCTTCAGTAACACTAAAGAAGATTTTTAGGTAAAGCCGTGGTCCTTGGTGAGTCATAAAATGCAAGTCAATGGCTGCCTGAGGCTGTGGATTACAGGTAATAATGTTCAGTTTCTTACACAGACATGATTGTTTCGCTTCATAAGACCTCAATATATCGTCAGGAGCCGCGGGATTAATTTAGTGGTTTTGTATCTTTTTTTTTTTACTCTCAAAGTGACGATAGCCATTGGCTTGCATTTTATGAATCACCAAAGATGGGTTCAGCTAAAAATCATCTTTAGTGTTCTACCGAAGAAAAAAGTCACCTTCATCTTGGATGGCCTGAGGGTGAGTAAATTAACAGCAAATCTTAATTTTGGGGTGAGCTATTTTCATTCCGAAATATTCTTATAAGCTCATAAGGGTTTCTTTGTAATATCAGTTGGTGAGTGGAGCAAGCTGCAAATCTCAGATGCTTCCCTTGACAGAGGATTAAGGTGTCAGGAACCAAAGTTATGTAATTTCCTCTTGCAATACATATTTGCTGCATGAGTGGATCAGATTTACTGTAGGACAAGAAACTGAAATGGGAATTGATTTAATTTCTACATAGCCACTAAAATTAACAATAAAAAGGGAAACAACCCGTGTTTTCCCTCAAGTGTACTGTACGTGGCTAATGATTTTCCTGCTCTTTTTTTTCCCTGTCACAGATGTTGTCATCAGAGGTCTTTGTTCCTGGTTGGCTGCAGCAGCTGCTGGTCGTGCTGCTCAGGTTTGTGCTGTCCTGCGCGGCCCCGGTGAACCTGACCAATGGGATGGAGTGCGGCGCTCGAGGACCCGCCTCTTACATCCTGGTGTTCACCGGCCACTGGAGTCCACAGACCTTCCCCAAACAGTATCCCTTATTCCGACCACCTGCGCAGTGGTCCAAACTCATGGGTAAGACTCCTGGTGATTTGAGGTGTCTGGTTTACAAGATTACTAGAAGCCAGAGAGGAGTGTTAGAGATGAGGCCGTTCAAACTTCCTCACCTCACCATATGTCAGGACGCCAAGTACTCACAGCTGGCCTGTTAACCCTGAGATTTGCCCTGACGACCCTCCAAACATATGCGCGTTACCTGCCACACCACGGGGGCAGGGCAGTCTAATGAGGAAAGCAGAACGAGAGCGAGGTTGAGGAGTAATAACCATTGCCAGATGACACAGGCTGCCCTGCAAGTTCATGCTGTCATTTAATAGTCCTTCCATAAATACACAACGCATGCGGTCTGCAACAGCCATTGACTTTAATGCGATCACTGTGTGCTCGCTTTTTCTGACGACGTGCTCTTTGGGTGTCACCGGTATACCAGCGCTCACATGCCACCGCCGCGGGCACGAGCCAAGACCAGCAGCAGACGTGCCAAAACATTTACAACCCAGAGATCCTGAAAGTGGCTTTGGAGCGCTGAGATGATGTCTGTGCAGTTTCTCCTGCCTCCTGGATGGCTTTCCGGCCCTCTCTTTATCCATTTATCACTGTTGTATCGCAATTATGTTCAGAAACCGCACATTTTTGTATGTAATCAGAAGGTTGCGCCGTACACATGAACTCCGCATATGAAGGATGAGACTATTAGGGAAAAGACCGAGATAGAGAGATAAAAGCACTGGAGACGGTTGCGGACCTTGCGGTTTGTGGTTTAGCTGATTGAGGTCAGGTCTCTTAAATTTTTCTGTCAACATTTGGGCCAGACGTGTAGCATGGAGAGACTAGACGTTTTAGCATGCCAAACGTGCTGCCTGCCTTCTTGTCATTCTCACTTGTAACTTTTTCTCTCATTCTCCTGCACACTCTCTTCTAGCTTCGGGTCTGCCAGACCAAAATGGTTTGTAGTTATGAAGAACACAGTGGGACGTTAAAGAGAGGCTGAAATCATTTCAGAAACATCATCTTAGCTCCTTCCTCTTTCAAACCTCTGTTGTGATATCAAGGGCTAATAGGTGAATTATCAAACTAGGCACGTTTGTCTTTGGAAGAAAAGTTCACCCAAAAACGAAAAGACGGTCTGTTTTGAATCATCCTTATGTCGTGCAAAACATGCCACATTTTCTGTGGAACACAGAAGTAGATTTTCGATTTTTTTTTTGTGTTTGACCTTTACACTGATGTCTTTTGCAGCGTTCCCCGCACACAGAGTTGTAAAAGCACAGTGCTCAAGTTAAAAGAAGTTTTTAGACCTTGCGGTTTTCCATTAGGTGACGTTCACACAGAACAGGTTTTTCCAATTCCATGTTTCTATGGTTTTTCTATTTAGAAGCACTAGACGGATGTGTTTTGCACACCTTTGCAGCATCTCTATCTTGGATTTTTTCGTTCCACCTGACCTGAGTGTTGCATTTTTTTTTTACCCCCACAAACACGCAACTTAAAAAAGGGAACAAAAGCAATTCATCAAAGATTTGCAAAAGCAATTTGTCAAATAAATTGAGGCAAGCATCAGTATTGCTACTGCTTGTACTTATCGTGAGACTTGGTGTTGGGGTCTTTTAACTTGGGCCAGAAACAAACTTTATAGCAACATTCTAACAACCCATCAGACCATCTTCACAATGGCGTAGCAACACCCTGATAATGGCTAATTACAACCTCTCATATCAAGGTGGCGAGGTTTACACGGCAAGAAAATGTTAAAATCAGAAAATGTAATTCTAGTTTGGTTACACACGTCATTCTGGTTTTTGAGAGCTGTTCAACAGATTAAAGAATAGAACGTAACTTTTGGAAAAATAGTTTAGTCGTAAGGTATGATCATATTGGCAAATGTTGTCAAAAAAGGTTCATTGTCTATTGTCAATAGTGTAGCAATGCATGAAGCACAGCTCACTCAATAGTCACTGTCAAACCGAGCAACTTTTTGTTGGTCGGTGCTATGAAAAAATTGGACCTGTTGCAAAATCTGTATGGGGAAATCTGTCACCCACTTTCACAGATTTCTATTGAACTGACTAGATTTCGCCCATGAAATTTTGCTGAGCAACAGTAAATCATGACTGCGCTTATAATATGCTTGAATATGTAGTCAGTTATGGACAGAGATGATAGTTTTTGCAGAAATATACATGCAAAGCAAAAGGAACCTGAAAAAGAGTGTTACACCAACTTATTACTTAAGAAATTTTAGATTTAAGTTTGAAAAGCTCCGATTGATTGACATGGATGTTTAGCATTTAAAATGGCATGTGACAGTGAGTGAAGACTACATCGTAAAATTTGCAGTTTGTGAGTGGTATTCTCGATGTCTGCTTGCATACTGAACTGTGATTGTTTTTTTTTCTTTGCACATATTTAACCACACATTTAACCATTTTAATTGCAATTAACTGAAAATATAATGCACTGAATGTCATGACAAAGGCAAAGCGGCTCTGACTTGGCAATTCATTGACACAGAACCAAAACCTAAAACATAAATATGCCTAAAACCTTAACACAGTTCTTTTGCCGCCTTGCATGCACTGATGTTGCTTTGAGGACATAAATATCTACTTTAATATATTAAATTACTATTACATAACAGTCTCGGTCACCCCTGAACTTTAGGTGCACACTAGGTCTGGTTTTTCTCACTGAAGGTTTTGTTTTTAGGTGTTTATTCTCTTGGCATTAGGGGCTTCTTCATGGCTTTATACCACAACTCGAGGTGTGTTGAGCACACAGAAGGTGGCAGAGCTGTATTTGTGTTTTGTGAAATCTGATGAGCAATAAAAATTCATGGAGTGGTAGTAATGTTCAACAGACCACTGCAGAACCTGAATCACGAGGCCTGAAAACATGAGCAGTTTAAATATGTTTCCTCTGAGTTTACCCTTCACTCATTGGCTGCTTTTACTTCTGTGCAGCCGTGACCCATAATGAGCAGTACCAGCTGTGGCAGGAGGGGGCGCCTGCGAGCGATGGCATGAAGAGCTTTGCTGAGCAGGGACTCACAGTGGATCTGGTGAAGGATGCGAAGGAGGCGAGGAAGAGGCGAACGGTGGGGTCCATGTACCGCACAGCCGGGATCCCCTCTGGTATCGGCCACAGCTCCACAGAGCTGCTCCTGACGCCCAGGACCCCACTGGTAAGATGAACGTAGTCACTACACAAAAATCTCCTTACCTTAGCCCGATTCACAACGGTAAGCTTGTAATAATGTTTTCTAATTTGAGTGGTTCAGGTCGTTATTACGTCATGTCAAACGGTGCATGATGGCAATGAAACACATGTAAGTGACTGAAATTAGATTATATTCCAGTTTTAAATGTGCATCTGATTACAGATACATGGAATTGGTGCACTTACAGAAGATTTGTATTTCAAAGAGAACGAGATCTAAGGAATATTAAATTGATTTTGAAGGTTAAAATAATTTCTTTTGATGACATTCGAATGGTATGACAATTAGAGATTAGACTGTACGAAAATTGAAATCTACAGATAATGCTAATACACACCAAATACACGTAGTCATGCAATGTTGATGTTGTTAACATTAACAATTTGAGAACAAAGTATAACAATAATAATAATTTGCATGTTTTTTTACGTGATCTGAGCTAACTTTGCGATCGTTAGATTTAATCACCATTGGTAGCGCGATTTATTGTTAAACTTTTTTTTTTTTCAGTTGGTCAGACATGTTACTTACTTGTTCAGATGACATTTTCGGGTGAAACTTCTTATTTTGGACATACTTCCAAGACATAGTCTTTGTAATTCCGAAGTACAGTGAATATCTACACTGGTGCCTTGACTGACAGCCACACATACACCTCAAAACATTAGATTCATCCGCGCTGAGGAGCCGTGCCGATGCACAACCCAGGTAAAGAAGATAATTACACAAATAACTACAATTGCAGGATTCAAACAGAGATGGCAACAAAGAGGCAGAACTTACGTACTGCAGTCACAAATGACTCATTTTCACAAATGAGCACAGCTTCTATGAGTTTGAAGCCTAAATATAATGAAGTAAAAAGCTAAACATAGGCTATAAATGAACTACACCATGGTTGCAAGACTCAAATTCCACCACCATTAACCTTCAACAACTATTTCAGTCTTTACTTAAAAACATTTTCCTTGAAAGTTTGAATAGTTTGCCAGAGCATGATTATAAACACAATGAGGTGATCATGCCAAGTCAAGTGTGAGTACAGATGAACTTATATGTCTTATTTAATTGTAGTAGGAGAAGTTACAATCAGCTGAGCTGTGGTCTGCCTGAACAACACTTGAGATCCATTCGTCACTCAAACAACATTTAATGTCCCTGACAACCTCTGTAGTTCCATTTAGCCACTTGTTAGCAACCAACTTTTTCAAGACAAGTAAAAGCTTTAAAAAATAGAATAGAAAAGAATAAAGCTTGAAAATATCTTGAGCTTGTGTTAACCACATGCCTTATTTCAGACATTTAACCAAAAAACCCATTAAAAAAACCTATTGATTTCAGGACAGTTGAACCAGAGGCGCTAAAAAGCTTACTTGTTTGTAGGTTTTGGCCAAAAAAACTCATTGGGTATGCCAATTCATGCATTAATGAAAGAGCTTAGATGATAGAGTAAAACTGTATCGATATGGATAAGGATTGGTTTCATTTACCCAGTAGAGAAGTAGGTAAATCTGTCTGTGTTAATGATATGCTGACTTTACATTGGAATTGAAATGAAAACAGTTCTTTAGAAATAATGATTTCTGGGTGGCAAGTAAGAAGGGAAATTCCCCAAAGACATTTCCCATTCCACGGTTGGGACTGTTTAGTTTCAGACATTTCATTGCTAAGGTAAAGCCATCAAATTAATAGAGCATAACTGAATAAAGACTAGGCCCTGGTAAGCGTTTTCCTCAGAAGGGTCAGTTTCCTAGAAGACATCCTTAAAGTCACAATGAAATGGAAGTAGTGACTAGGGCTGGGCGATATAGCTAAAAAAAATTATCAACGATATAATGTTTCATATCGTTCGTTATCGATATCAAGATCTTCGCATTGAGCTTCTATATTTCTCTAATATTTTGAATGAATAACGCAGCAGCGGCGCGTCTCGTGGGCTAGACTAACAAAACATTAAAATGCAACGACGTCACTCACATCATTATCACCGCATCTCGCGCGCCACTGATGACGCTCCCTGATGCACACCTAACATTCAAATGCAAATGTTTATTTTAAATTCGACTAATATTCATTCTTTATTCACAATCTCCTCATCACAGGCAGGCACAGCACTCATTTCAGCATGTGTTTGTGTGTGCTGTCTGCGTCACTCATAACAAGTGCCTATATCGTGCGCTATATCGAACTACTTTTCTATCGATATCGAAGAAGGTGTACCGTTGATAAATATCGATACCGTTTTATCGCCCAGGCCTAGTAGCGACAAATCTTTTCTTCTGTATTGTGACGTACATCCGGAGGTAACACTTTATTTTAAGAACCAGATTTCACTGTTAACTAGCATGCATATAACTAGCATAATATCTGTTTATTAGTACTTAAAAAGCACATATAAATGCCTTATTATACATGACCATATTTTAGATCCCTTAATCCTACCTCGTACCTAAACGTAACAGCTACCTTACTAACTATTAAGAATCAGCCAATTAGGAGTTTATTCAGGCAAAAGATGTAGTTAACAGTTAATAGTGAGAGTTGGACCTTAAAATAAACTGTGACTGATGTGGGATGTTTCACTATATGAGGTCAAATAAAAAATAAAATAAAAAAATTAACATGTGCACAGATGACTTATTCACAATCACATGCATTTAGAAAATAGATAGGGTGAAATTTCTCTTCGGCTCACTTTAATGATACAATATACTTATATATTGCACAAAGACAGACTTCACCAGAGCGCAAAACCAAAACCACATCCAGAGTCCCAGGACCTCCAGACCACAACCCTCACTCCCTCCCTTCCGGCTCCTGTGCTGCGTTTCCTGCACCCACCAGATCTGCAGATAGGGAGAGGCTGGAACCTTTTCTTCTCAGTTTCTGGAATATTTATCTTCCTGGTAGCCACGAGTCGGTTGGTTACAGGGTCTAAAGGCAGCGCTGGTGCTGCTGGTGACCTACATATCTTTATTTCCAAAGTCTGGAATACAAACGGCAACTACCCTCAGATGCGCCTGGCATTCACTCCTGCTGGTACTTAACCGTCTGCTGTGTGTGTATGATCTGTGTGTCTGTTCACTTATTATTGATGAACTGATTGCTTACACCTTAGTATTAACCATATTTAGTATTAAACTTCCGTAAGTTATTTTCCTGCACGATTGTGCCACAGACATGAATGATAACTCAAATTGTGCAGCTTGATGAGATGAACTATTACTTTTCTAAGCAATCAGACTTAAAAGTCCCATAAACTTACATTGAAGAAGCACTGTAAAAAATGCTGCTGCTTTCAGTTATAACAGCTTAAAATTTGTTGAGATAACTGAAATATCCAACTTAAGTAAACTAAACTTATAATTTTAAGTATCAAACACTTACTTTTTAAACAACACATTTTTACTTATTCCAATGTTCAATTTTGAACAGTGAGGGACTAGAGACACACCAAAAGCAAATAGCGAATGCTTTTTTGACATGCAATTTAAAATACTAAAAAATAGTTATTCATTTTATTATTTTATTTTAACCCTAATTATATTTTAAAGCATTCATTAAATATATCATTTCAATTATTCATATATCTTTTTTAAGCAATATAGAGATTGGAATATCTTACAGACTTGAGGGTGGGCTTTTGACCTGTAAACCATATAACAATTTACTAAAAGATATTAGTAAAATCATTTATTAAATATATCATTTTAATTATTTATATATCTTTTTTAAGCAGTAGTGAATGGAATACCATACAGACTTGAGGGTGGGCTTTTGACCTGGCAACATTTTTGAAGTCTCTGGTCTTTATCAACCTACTGAAAAAAGTGTTTGCTTATTTGTAAATCAATACATATTCAAATTCTGCACTAATCTTCCTTATTGAATAGTGTTGGCTACAATAAATAATGTACATATAAGACCTAGGTACTTTTGCATTTTCAATCAAGTATAATTGAGGAGGAGTACTTATACTTTACTGGAGTTATGTAATGTTAGGGTGTCTGTACAAGACTGACCAGCACTGCAGTAAACCACTCAGAACACCTTAGAAACCAAATTAGCAACACAATAAAACACTCGGAAGACCTCAGCAACCCCATAGTGGAGTTTTGCACCACTCATGTGTTCTTCAGAAAACTCTATTTCTTGTTTATTTACTAAATAACAGTTTTACCACAGGATTTTGTTGGCTGTCATAGGCAGCGAAGGCATCTCAGTAGACAAGATGTGCCCTTGATACCTTCTTATACTGACTGTAAAAGCAGCATTTATCGTCTTTCTGTGTCATTTTCCAAGAAACTATCTAAATATACTGTTGGGCTGCAGCTGACATTGCAATGTGTTTAATTAAGAACTCCAAAAAAAGAGACACGGTGTCAAATTTCAGATTCCCGCAAATGCAAGACCAGCACCCTCAAATCAACAGGAAAATAAGTAAATCAGAAACAGCAAAAAGCCGCCCAAAATTACTCAAGGTTCTTTTGCATTTAATAAGATCCAGAGCAGCGCTGTGGATTTCTGCAAATAGTGAGGCATGCAACAAACCACAGCACGTTCCAGCTGTGCATGCAGACAGACAGAGACACACTGTCCTGACACACAAATCAGGGCATTGGTTTGGCAATTATGTGTTAGTGTGACTTTGTGCCCTGAAGAGAGATTGAGCTCTATTAGCGCAGGGCCGGAACAGACAGCAGAGGGATGAGGCACAGCTCGCCTCTCACGCCAGAGAAATTGATATAGCAGGAGGTATTCCTGGAAAAGCCACAGAATGAGAAGAGATGTGAGGGAGAGACGAGTAAATCCAGTCTGGAGAAAAGTCAGCTGTAGACTGGATGTTGTCACAAGGTACCAAAACTGTGGCCCCAATATGGATACAAAAAGCAGGCTACAAATATATCTGTTCTGCTTTTAATGTTTGCTTTAGAAATGACCTATTGTGGGTAATTCACACTAAAGTGTGGGATCTGCACTCCTAAAAATAAAGGTTCTTTTTTGGCATTGATGGTCCCATGGATTTCTAGTTGTGCCCTCTTTTGGAAGACCAAACAAAGTATTTTCCCTTTAGCAACAAAACACACAGCGTCTTCAGGACATGGCGGCGGCAGCAACAATACTACAGCGAGAATAAAAGTTACGCCTTCTTTCTTTGCGTGAACATTTTGGCGGCGTTATGCAAATCTTCCCACACAGTAACGCAGATATGTGGGGGCGTGTTAGAACGAGCCGTTTTAGGAGGGCGTGGACGAGTCTTAACTTTGATAAAGAATATCTCTTTGGGTTTGAGACTTTAGTCTTTGCGACTTTAGGGATCTTATCTATTCACGAACAGCTTTAACATCCATTGAAACTTTCCATTGCACAAAAGGTTCTTAATTGTGGAAAATGTTCTTCACACTAAGAAAAAAAAATGGTTGACTGGTTAACGTTTTAATTCATTTGTTATATAAAATATTTTATTTTTAAATTGCGTCTCCCTTAAAAGTTTTCTGAGGCCCCCTACTGGGCCCCAGCTTCCTGGTTTAGAACCACTGACTTTGTGTACTTTTAAATTATGCTTTAAGTATCACCTTTGCCTCAAATGATTCTCTTATAATTTCCATTGAGATATTAAAATACTTTACAGATTATAGAACAATAAAATTGTGTATGTGTTTGCTAATTTTTTTATTACAGACATTTGGATTGCAATTCTGAGTTTGAGACATTTTTTTAATTTCTCCTGTAACTCTAGATGAGAGAGACTAAACTAAGAAGCAGGACATTTCATAAAATCTCATTTTGCTGTACATTTAATCTGATTGCTGTCTGGGAAAAACAATTTAGGTATTAAATAGATTTTAAAGGGCTTTTGACACTGTGTTTAACCTCATTGCTGTAAACCCTGCTTTTAAACCCGGGTAAAGGTACGTTTCACACTTCCAATTTAGAAACAGAGTTAGCGCTGCTTTTTACCCAGGGTTATGAAATGCTCCTCCAGAGCGGGGTTAGCAGCACTCTTATGGTGTTAACCCCGCATTGCACTGCCAAATCTGTCCAGTATGAAATAATGCAGTGTTAGAATGTTACGGTTCGATGCTTAATAACCGACAGCCAAACGTGTGTGCGCTTTGGACAGTGACAGAAACAACGAACGGTCATTTCAGCATTCGAGGACAACATTTCAAATGGTGACAGAAAATGTGTGAAATGAAGTGTGAAATGAAGTGAAGAATAGGCTGTTTTATTCTTACCTTTGTAGTCGGAAAAGTCCATTCAGGACAAAACTTGATAGTACAGTCTGCCAGATATAATATAAGGATATGCAACGCTAGAGTTTTTATGTAAACAGGTCCAGCACTGCGTTAGTCCAATCAATGACACTGTCACCTCAAATATGAACGTTAACCCTGGGTTTAGGAGTATATTGTGTGAAACGTCAGTTTATGAATCCCAGTATTAAACTGTAACCCTTGGTAAATTATAAGCAGTGTAAAACATGAAGCAAGATAAGCAGGATTTCATTTACCTGGAGTTTAGAATAACTCAGAGTCAACTAATTAAGGGTTAACAGGAATAACCCTATAGATGGTTATATAAATGCTTCATTCATTCATCCATCCAACCAACCAACCAACTACACTAAAAATAAAGGTGCTTCACGATGCTATAGAAGAACCTTTTTGTCTAAATGGTTCCATAAAGAACCTTTAACATCTGAAGAACCGTTCTGTTTCACAAAAGGTTCTTTGTGGCGAAAGAAAGTTCTTCAGATTATAAAAAGGTAAGAAAGAGATGGTTCTTTAAAGATCCTTTGACTGAATGGTTCTTTGTGGAACCAAAAATGTTCTTCTGTGGCATTGCTGTGAAGAACCTTTTAAGCACCTTTATTTTTAAGAGTGTAGTTCAAGGGTGAAAAACCCTAAAGTTCCCTTTTGACTTGGCATAGTAAGCATCTACCCAGAACACACTAGTTGAGTTTTTCACATCAGAAAATTTGAACATCTACCTTGTGATTTCTTTCTTTTGTTTTTGTATGGAGGTTTGACTGATATACCTTATGTGAACTCAAGCAGACAGGATCCGTTAGGTTTTATTGTATGTCTGATGAATCATTTTTGGCTGAATATATCAGGCTTGTGTTAAAATAGCCGATGTCACTCCATGGCTGGTTTCTCTCTGTGACTGCGTCTTGTGGCTATTCCCTCACTCTGCTCTGACCCAAGGGCTCTTCCTGAATGAGGTCATAGTCAAAAAGGAAACATTCATCACCATTTAGACAAAAAATCCCAGATGGTCTAACCTAACATACACAGGAAGGAGTGGAAAATACTGGACATGGCTACAAAGAAAAGTTTCAGATGTGACTTATGAAGCCAATTATGTTAGCAGAGCATGCTGAAAAACAAGAAGTAGATTGCCATTGGCTAACTCAGCATTGATAATGTCTGTGTGTATGTTTTCAACACGAGAGTGACTGATCATGTTGTGTTTTCTCTCACAGCTGTCTCTGATAGTGAAAGTGATCCCCAGTCCAGACTGGTTTGTGGGGGTGGACAGTCTGAACCTGTGTGAGGGTGGGCAGTGGAAACAGGAAGTGACCTTTGACTTGCACCCATTTGATGCTGGCACAGATAGCGGCTTCACTTTCTCTTCACCAAACTTTCCAACAACACCCCCAGAAAATATCTCCATGGTGAGATACGCTTCCCATGATTCAGCTACATTCTACTGTTTAAAAGTTTGGGGTCTCTAAGATTTTTTTTTTTTTAAGAAGAAGAAAGTAATGCTTTAATTCAGCAAGGATGCATAAAATCGACAGCAAAGACATTTTTAATGTTCAGCATATTCGAATGATTTCTGAAGAATCATGTGACACTGAAGACTGAAGTAATGATGCTGAAAATTCAACTTTGATCACAGGAATAAATTACATTTTTAAATATATTAAAATAGAAAAGTGTTATTTTAATACTGGTTATTACTGGTTTTACTGTATTTTTGATCATACGCCTTGATGAGCCTTTCAAAAACGTTAAAAAATCTTACAGACTCTAAGCCTTTGAATGAGAGAGGACATTATTCGCAGTTAGGGAACCATTCAAATGTTGCTTGTTCACTTAAAATTATATGATTTTAAGAAGTAATTGTAGATTGTTCTGACTTTTTCTTTTTATCAATGAATTTCCATGGCTTTTCCTTTTGTTCATGGTGACTGGATAAGGTTTTTAATAGAGATTGTAGGTAAGATTTTCCATTTTGTCAGATACCAGTGTCTGTAATAAGATTTGAATCTGGCTCAGTGGAGAATTCGTCTTACAGAAATGTATTCACTATAGAAATTTCCATGGCTTTTAAAAGGAGAGTTATATGTTTTATTCACCCTCATGTTGTTTCAAATCAATATGGAACACAAAAGGAGAAATTTTAAAGAATGTTCAGACTGCTCTCTTCCATATAATGATAGTGGATGACGGACCAGGAGCAGTCAAGCTCAAAATAGACAAGAAAAGCACCATAAAACATCACAAAAGTGGGCCATATGATGAGATAAATATGTGTGAGGAAGAATAAAGGCATTATTCAGCCACAGTCATTGTTTACTTTCATTGTATGGAGAAATGCAGGTTGGATATTCTGCTATTAAAAAAGTAACTTTGTGTTTTAAATTGAATGAATTTTCATTTTTGGGTGAACCACTGTGGATTTTTATACATTTTCATGGCTTTTGCCTAGAAATCATAATTTTATAATTTCCCAGACATTTCCAGGTTTTCCATGAACTTGGGAGCCCTGATTCTAAGTTGATTCAGGATGTGATTTTATTTAAAATTTCATATATTTTATTTTAAAAACATTTACATTTAGAAATCAGTCTAATATCTTTGTAATATTTTGGCTGATGCAAATCACAACTCTACCGCATCAATAACTGTTTTATTCTCGTCCAGATCTCCTCTCAAAAGCCAAACCACCCTGCAAATTCCTTCTATTACCCTCGGCTAACTGAACTCCCGCCTTTGGCCACTATTTGGGTGAAGCGACAGGGCCGCACACCTGTCCGTCAACAGAACCGACTGTCCAATCACATCCTGCCTGACACAACCAAACTCAACAGATTCTCAGGTAGATCTGCATACACATTTTACACATTCAAGCACAGAGTATTGTGTCTCTTGATCGTGATCTTCTATTTTCACTGTTGCACATTTGTGACCCTGGAGCACAAAACCAGTCATAAGTCGCATGGGTATATTTGTTGCAATAGCCAACAATACATTGTATGGGTCAATATTATCGATTTTTCTTTAATGCCAAAAATCATTAGGATATTAAGTAAAGATTATATTCCATGAAGATCCTACCGTAAATATATCAAAAATGTATTATCATTAGTAATATGCATTGCAAAGGACTTCATTTGGACAACTTTAAAGGCGATTTTCTCAATATTTTGATTTTCTTGCACCCTCAGATTCCAGATTTTCAAATAGTTGTATCTCGGCCAAATATTGTTCTATCATAACAAACCATACATCAATGGAAAGCATATTTATTTCAAAATTGTAAAAACAAAATGGACCCTTATGACTGGTTTTGTGGTCCAGGGTCACATTTCATTTGGCTGGTCAATCCAAAAAAGAAGTGCTACGTGCTTTATTCTAGATGTTTTGGGTTTGCCGCAGCATTGTGCAGCAAGTAAACAGTTGAAACTTGATGAACTCTAATGCACACCACATGTGGTAAACACTTTTTATTTGCTTCCACAAAAATGTAAGCATGTGTTGTTCCACTAACTAGCGTTTCTTTGCATTTATTACTACAATTTCCATGACCCGTTGCTATTATCGCACAGAAATTTGGACTTTCAAACTGAATGCATAGGAGTCATTATATAATTTAGAGTACAATGTAATACATTACAAAATTATAAAAACAGCTTTCTCAATAAAACACCTATTGGTTTTAGTTTATATGTTTTATAAGTGTTACTTATCTGCTAGCTGCCAAGCTTAATCATTAAACATAATTTTGATATTACAAAGAAAAAGATGTTTTGGGATTGTCAGTGCCTGTATGTGAAGTTTAATAATTAAAAAAAATTTTAAAAATAAAAAAAAAAAAAAAAAAAAAAAAAGATGTTTTCTCTGGTGGTGAGTTTGTCAAGTATGTTATTGTATGGATTGTTTGGCCAACCAAATGTTGTTTTCTTGATCAGATTAACCTCAAATCTGAATGTTTATATGAATTAAAATCATACAAATATTGCAAACCATAACTATGTACCTAATGTAGTTGACAGGCAATTAATATACTCCTTGACAATAGGTCATTTGAGATAAAATATAGAAAAAATTAAAAGGACATTCCCCATAATGTGTTCAAAATATTTAAACGCGAGTAAAATAAAATAATTGTAGACATAAATTGAATATAGATAATATAGACTTAAACATTTGTTATTCATTTTTTAAAAACTCAATTCAAAAAGCAGACATTGCAAAAACTGAAAGTTAAGGGACATAAAGATAATTTCAGGTAAACTGAAAAGCAGGGTGCAAAAAATATATGTGTGAGATTGCAGTATGTATTCTCCTAATGGATAAAATATATTTGTTTAAAAATAAATAATTATCATCAATGGACATGAAATGTACCCTAAATTATACAGTGACCCAGTAACCTACTATAAAATAAAACACATTTGTTCAATTGCCGGTCGGCCCAAGTACACCACTGGTCTGTTTTTCTTTAATTGACCGTGCATAAACATGCACATAAACATAATCTCTTGACGGATTGCTTCCAGACAGCTTTTTTAGCCAGTGGTCCTCATGATTCCTGCATGTCTTGCAGAAACGCCGCTGGACTGCGAGGTGTCCATGTGGTCGTCCTGGGGCCTGTGTCTGAGGCCGTGCTCTCGGGGCGGCCTGCGCCATCGCACCCGTTACATCCTGCTCAAACCCGCCAACAGCGGCACGCCGTGCCCCGAGCTGGAGGAGCAGGAAGAGTGCACGCCGCACAACTGCCTGGCGTATCAGTGATGCCGGTCACACCGCTGGCATAGACACTTTGACGCTGTCCAAGCGGAGAGCCGAGTTTAACCTCATGCCAATGCTGAGTCACTGCCGCAGAATGTGGGAGAGCCGCCCGACTGGACGTCCAGTGAGCGGCATTGGCTCCTCTCCTCGCTGGAAAAGAGCGACTCGTATTCTGTTAATAGAGACTTTGATTATGGGTGCTGTACTCGCAGTAATCTCAGTGTATCTTTGCGTAATCGCACACTATTTTGCCAATATAGATTTGTGGAATAGATGACTTGCAGTTACCCGACCACTGTTTTTATCATAACTACATGAAATAACATAAGCCTTCTCCTTCTGATCTCACAACAATAGCAACCTTTTTGAAGTAGCTGAGGTGGGCTTTGAATGATTTGTAGTGGGCTTTAGAAGTCAACTAGTAGTCTATTAGTGGTCAAATAAGACTTGAAGACACCCTCATACAGGCCTAATTATGTTCAAAATGCAGTATGCATAAAGTTTACAATATTATCTTGTGAGGAATCACACAAAACTAGCTGTCATATGTCATTTATCAAATAAGGGACCGTTTAGATGTTGCCAGTCAAGAGTTTGTAATCACAAAGATTGTTTAATGTTTTTGAAAGAAGTCTCTTATGCTCACCAATTTGATCAAGAATTCAGTAAAAACGGTAATATTGTGAAATATTATTACAATTTAATGTGTTCTATTTGAATATGTGTTAAAATGTAACTTATTCCTGTGATGCAAGCTGAATTTTCAGCATCATTACTCCAGTCTTCAGTGTCACATGATCCTTCAGAAATTACTCTAATATGCTGATTTTCTGCTCAAGAAACATTTCTTTTTATTATCAATGTTGAACACAGTTGTGCTGCTTAATATTTTTGATTATCTGAATAACAGAACACTCAAAAGAACAGCATTTATTTTAAAACAGAAATATATTGTGACATCATAAATGTCTCTATTTTCACTTTTTATTAATGTAATGCATCCTTGCTGAATAAAAGTAAGTAATTTACCCCAACCTTTTTAATATAATGCTTTCCACAAAAATATTAAGCAGCACAACTGTTTTCAGAAATGAAGCTGAAAATTCAGCTTTTCCATCACAGGACTAAATGACATTTTAAAATGCATTGAAATAGAAAACATTTTAAAATATAATAATTCACAATATTACTGTTTTTAATGTCTTTTTGATTAAATAAATGCAACCTTGGTGAAACTAAAACACTTCCTGTAAGAACATTTAAAACCTTTAATTCCAGACTTTTGACCGGTAGTGTATATGTTGTATTTTATGTTTATTCAAATAATAAACTATAACATTCGCTCTCAAATAATTTTCTCTTTGTTGTGTTTTTATGGTAGCATTTTATATGTTAGCATTTGTACATTTTACATGAATCGTCTGGTTTTGTGAGTTCATACAGCTAAACTTTTCACTGTTAGGCTGATCATATAATGTGGTATTAAATTAGGAATGAATGGCAAATATGAGCATTTTCACTAGTGTTGTTACACATTTGAACTCCACTGTATATCCTGGACTCAAAGGCCAACAACAAGATGATTCTGAAACAAAATGAGTCTGAAATCTCCCACATGTTAACGGCATGATTATATGTATGGTGATTTTCCTCTCATACTAAGGTGATGTAGCTACTAAATAAAAAGGTTATAATGGCACATTTATAAATATTTTATTCTGAGACAGCTCACAGATGGTGCGGATGAGAACACAAACTCGTTTAAAAATATTAGCTGCTGTTATAAATACGATTACAGTTGGTGATCGACCATTGATGTGCTGCTTTCATGAATTTATTAGTCAGTTTCATTACGTATTGTGGATGTCTTTATCTGCTTCATCTGAATAAAGCGGAATTAGATGGACACATGAATCAAGGTTTTGGTATTTATTATCAGCAGGTCATTTAATTATTTAGGAAATAATAATGAAACGTAATATTATCATATAAAGCAGCGTGATTGTGTTTTGAAATGTTGCCATCTAGTGGAGGAAACAGATTTTATAATGTCACAGAAAATTGCAACCGGTACCATTGCAGTATTACCAAATATGAAAAAGAGGGGCAAGATTGTCTTAACTCATCATTCAGCAAAATGTTAAGACAAAGGAAGAAAAGATATATATTTATATATATATATATATATATATATTAGACGAAGACGCTCCAGCCAGGTCTCAGCAGTCTAGATGTGAATTATAGGTGGCCATCTTTAAAGGTGCTATGTACGTTTTTGACTTGCCATAATATGTTTGCAGATATTTAAGAAACATGCTAAGTTAACATACGTGTTTATCGTAAAAACAATGCTACAGTCAGTTATTCTCCTTTGAAAAGTTCCATGTAGGAATGCCTGTCTTTGTTTTGGTCTGAGTGACTCCGCCCACTGCCAGATTACCCAATTGTATTTCGGCACCCCGGGTTGCCAGTTGGCGGAAAACACACAGCGTATTTCATTGCAATCATGGAAGCCGCTAGGGCTTTGCCGTTGTTCACCGACAAGCTGCGCAAATCATGCGCAAAATATGATTGTGGTTTTGCGCAGCTTGTCAGTGAACAACGGCTCTGTGTAGTTCATGCTGTTCCATGTGAAAGCCCGCAGGTGATGGAGATTTACCGCTGATTAAAGAACCGACTTTACTGACAAGATGCGCGTTAAATATCGCATGCGATTTATCGTGCAGCCCTAACTTACACTTTGTTTTTGTGTAAAACTCAAAATAAAGATTTCTTGTTGTATGCATTTGTCATTTTTATTTAATTTCTTTATTTTTAAAATGTGTATAAGTAGTATTAAGTAAGTTTTAGCTTTTAGTTTTGGATCTATTTTTAGTTGTTTTAATACTACAATTGATTGCTTCTGTTGTCCTCATTTGTAAGTCGCTTTGAATAAAAGCGTCTGCTAAATGACTTAATAAATTAATTAATAAATTAAATTAAATAACCCTCTAATGACCAGTGAGAAAAAGTTTTCATGAGCCGAGAGAGAGAGAATAAGCAATACAAAAATTCAAACCTGATTATGATTTGAATTATCTGGCAAAACCCAAATGAGTCTAGTTGTACATAATAGTTGTGAAGTTGTCACAGGTTCTGATATTCCAAATATAATTTTTTTTCACAGAATCTCAACACTTTATGATCCCTTATGATATCATAAAGGAATTCAGAATGTTAATGTGTTATTATGAGACGGCGACTATCGCGTGGAGAGAAAGCGAAGGGAGGTGAGTGTGTGCACGGGGTCAATCCCTGTACAACACTGACACACACCGATCCTCATCCTGACGAGACGCCTGAGGGGAGAGAAAGGAGAGAGAGGGAGACAAGACAAAGAATATGAGAGGAGAAAGGTTTGCCTCTTTCTTCTGTTGTTAGCCTCACCCCAAATCCACCAAAGCTCAGGTGGAGCAGGTGGAGCAGGGTGAGGAGGACCAGGACACTGATGGGACCCCATCCAGGAGCTGTACTGATGGTCAATAATGAGCTCTGATCATTTACACACATCACCATCACATTATACAAATGCATATAAATGAGTTTTTCCACTATATGTGATTAATGCTTTAACATGATTTGAAAAAGTTTAATATTCAAGTAACCAGAACTTACCATTAATGAAAAAATAAAATGGGTATGCAATATTTTATTGATATTAGTTGATTAAAACAAGCTTTTGGTTGATTCTCTACAGGACGTCTTCTGTACTGTAGAGGACAGTGATCATCAGGAACCTCCTTCCAGTGCTCCTGAAGTCGCCCACTGCAGAGAAGCAGCAAATGCAGGACGTCCAGCCTCAAGATCAGGACAGTCCAGTCAGTCCATCAGCAGATGAGAGTGCATCACATCTGCTGAGACATCTGGACTGTGACGAGATCACGAGGAACGAGGGTGAGTTTACGGTCATAACCGAAAATTTAACACACACACTCTTCTTACAATATATTATTTTAGGTGTACATGTATAAAGGAAATGTATGTTTTAAATAATGCATCTGTAACTGCAGTAACGTTTCATTTAGTTTTTTTAATTTTTATTTTAAATTACCATTTTTCGCAGTTGACTTAAATAGTCCTGCAGTGTGGACTTAAATAAAAAACTACAACTATTTATCTTGTAATAGACCGCATTTCCTGGACATAGACCTTTGGTAAGAAGTTGGGGGAAGGAGGATGCGGCTCCGTCTTTGAAGGGACCCGCTGTGAGGACGGCCTTCAGGTGGCTGTGAAATTCAAGACAGAAAACGAGTCGTACCTCAGCCTTGTAAGTAGACTGTGCTCTCTGTGTCATCTCCTCTCAGTCACTGTTAGCAATTTATAACATCTTAGATTCATGTAAAACACAGAGTACAGATATTTCAATAGACAAACAGACTGAGCTAAATCCTTATTTGAGAAACCACTTCCATCTGACCATCATAAAAATCAGTTTTTCTTCTAGCCTGACCGTCCCAGTCCGGTTCCTCTAGAGGTGGCTCTGACAGTCATGGCCAGTCAAGGCCCCCGCTGTCGCCACTACACTGGTGGTGCTACTTAGATTTGAAATCACTACATTTAGTGGTACCCCGTGTGAGGATACCTAACATCTGAAAATGACTACAACAGATGTCACTCAACAGGGTTCCTTTTCAGAGCCACTCTGGTCCCAGAGCTGAAGGTCCTGCTGCTGCTGCTGCAACCCCCCTGGCTCCGCGGAACCGTGCGGGCGGTCAGTGTGATCGGGCTGGCGAGCCCGGGGATGGAGGTGAGACCGACACAACAACAGACCGTCAATACATAACACAAAACCAACCCGTGCGAATAAACACTGAAGCTTTCGTCAGTTTCAGTGTGTAAAACATTAAGATGTGACTCCAGGTTGCGATTGAAATGAGGAAGAGATGCGTAGATGTGCGTCTAATGTGTGTTTGTGCTAGTTAGCTAAGTAGCTAGCTGCACATATGGACTGACTGAAATCCTGGAGAGCCGCCTACATAGACTGGGTTTTTTGGGGTCACTGATGCTGTCTAGTAAGGCAGCCACTAGTTTAAGACTGCAGTAGACTCAGTAAAGGACCCATTGTGATTAAAAACCGTTCCACACAATAAATGCATCTATCAAATTGATTAAACATACTGACTGTGAATACAAAGGGAAAGGTTATTATTCATGGCGTGTTGCCTGTGAAGTAATAATAATTTTATATGATGGGTGGAATGAGAGCTTTTATAAATGGTTTATTGCTTTTTAGAGTAAATGGAAAATATGTGCTGGTATTTATATTCACACAGGCAAACTATATTAATCAACTTTTTGTTGTGGAAGACATTATTTTTTGATGGTGATTTCTTTTAAATCAGTTATTATTCATGGATTGAATTATGTTCGGTTAATTTTGATGGTCTGTGTGTAGAGTACAGAACCTATGAAATATGCTGCAAGCATTTAGTATTTATGCAGCATATGGCTTGTGTTAGTGAGTAAATGTATATTCATATATGCACATACAGGCTTTGTTGTGTATTGGTTTGATCTAATTTTGTTCATTTTAACCATTAGTGATTGACATTTTTGGAGAAATGTTCACTGCGGTTCAAAAGTTTGGATTCAGTATTATTTTTATGACTTTTTTATTTACTTTTTTCAGTACTATTGATAGAAATTATTACTTTTTTCAGCAAGAATGCATTGATCAAACGTTACAGTAACAACATGTATAACTTCACAGCGAATTTCCATTTCAGATGAATACAAAGTTCAAAAGAAAAGCCTTTATCAAATCATTCTGGAAAAAAATATTAAGCAGCACAGCCATTTTATTAACATTGGTGAGAGTAATGTTTTTGAGCAGCAAATCAGCCTAATACAATGATAGTCATATTTCACAATATTACTGTATTTACTGTATTTTGATCAAATAAATGTAGCTTTGGCGATCATGAGAGACTTCTTTCAAAACATTAAAGGGGTCATATGATGCTATTTTAAAGATCATTATTTTGTGTATTTGGTGTAACAGAAATATGTTGACATGCTTTAATATTCAAGACAGGATCTTACACTATTCAGGGTCGGAGAGTGCAGGTGTACCAGCCAGAGTTTGGGGAGCCCTGGGCCCTGGGACTCGTATCTCAGCATGATCCAGTTTCACACATTATGGAGATTACCATGGACCAGGTCCGTGTGAAAGGCAGTACACTGTCTGTTTAGAATCTAATCAGTGTTACCATCTGATTCGTGGGTTAGAGATGATAAAAGCTGACTTTTGTGTGTGATTCATCTGTCAATCTTGGTTTGTTTCAGGGTGAAGAGACACAAGTCGTTGATCCTCGGGTTATTCATGTGATGCTTGCTGTGAAGCAGTTAGAGAAGGTGTGTTGGGTTTCTGTCTCTGCAAGTGTCGATTAGAGGTTGTCTAATTTAAAGGGGTCCTTTTATGCTCTTTTACAAAGTCTTGATTTTGTTTTGGGGGTGTACTAGAACAGGCTCTCATACTAGGTTGTTCGAAAACACATAATTTTCCACAAAACTGAAATTCAATTGAACTGAATTTAATTATCTACAAAACAAAGTTTGAGTTGAGCCTCTAACATTAAATCATGAAGATGTTTAATATTCACTGTTTGAATTAAGTTTAAGTTTAAGAAGGAATTAAACAACAATTATATATAAAACAAAATGGGCGCCATGCGTGGAAAAAAAAAAAAAAAAAAAGCATATATATATATATATATGTTTGGTTGAGTTGGCTCCTCAGTCTGATAACAATAAGAAGGATGTGTTTTCTGTTCTTAAAGCACTCTCTCTCGAGGAAACTTAAAGGAAGCATAAAGTCTCTTAGCATCCAGTGTCTTAATGCAATCACAAGCTGAGCTAAAAAGGATTTATTACATACTTTATTCAGCAAGGATGCATTAAATTAAGCACAAGTGACAGTAAATAATTAAAAATATTACAAAAATAAACTTTCAAATAAATGCTGTTCTTTTGAACTTTGTTTATCAAAGAGTAGTAAAAAATGTATGACTGCTTCCACAAAAATATTAAGCAGCACAACTGTTTTCAGCAAAAAGAAATGTTTTTTGAGCATCAAATCTGCATATTATAGAATAATTTCTGAAGGATCACGTGGCAAATTCAGCTTTGCCATTAAATGAGTAAGTTGCAAAACAATGCAGTTTTGGTGAACATAAGACACTTCTTTCAAAAACATTAAAACAAAACTTAGTGATTCAAATGTATATGTATGTATATGTGTGTGTTAAAAGGGGCTTGTTAGTCATTTTATAGCTTGTTTATTAATTTAGTAATGTAAACTTGGTAATTGATCATGCGCCTGGGTCATTCTGTTGTATCACATCTCTTTTAGAGCCCAGATCGTCGCAAGAAGGAGGGTGATGGTGGGAAAGGTGAGGGCAGTCGGCGGCGCAGGACAGCATCTGAAGGAGATGAAGACATTACTCTGAAACGTTTCAAAGGAGCCGGAGAGGGCGCCTCTGACGGCCAGAATGCCAATGGCTCCAACAAGGATGCTGAGGCTGTGGTAACATGCGTAGAGATGCCGGGAGAGGGAGTAGTGGAGGGAACAGACGGAGGGGGTGGCGTAGGTGGGAGGGTGACCAGCACCTGTAGTCCAGTAGCTTTGCCAAGTCAAGATTCCTCTAACAACAGCAATTCCTCTCAGCAGGAGCACTCCCACATAAGGAGCACAGGTTTTGTCAAGGAGAATGGCAGTTTTGTCCCAAACCAAGAAAGAATATCATCTTCAGTATCAGCGGTGCTTCCTGCGTCCACTCCAACACCACCTCCATTGAAGCCTGCCCCATCGCCCTTTTCTAACACTTTTCCTTCTTTGGGTCAAATGCCCAGCTTGGTTCCCGGGGCCCCTGCCCCGAAATCATCTTCCACACTCTCAGCAGCCGAGAGGGAGGAGGGAGGTGTCCTTTCAGGGTATCCTAAAACAGCTGCCCTGGTGTCTCTAGGTCCTGTGACCATTTCATCACCTTCCCAAGACAACGCTTCAAGTGTGGCTCTTTCTGCTCCTGTAGAAGCAAACCTAAAGCCCAGTAAATGGGGATCAGCTCCAGAAGCAAGCAAGGTATGACATTGATGCTTGTAGTTGACTTAGGATCTGTTAATTTATTCAAGAATACATAAAAAATGGAATTTATGAATATAAATTAAAACACCACTTCTATGATTAGTTTTGATTCAGAAATGACAAATATTCTTGTTTTTAACATTTTTGGGTGAAATAAAGTAAAACAAAAAAAGTTATCAGAGTATATCCTCAAAGTAGAAGAATGATTAAATAATTAAAAAAAACTTATTACGTAGTTTGGCTTAATGTTTTATTATTTCATAAGAAAAGAAAAACTCTGAAACAGTTTTGTTAAATAACATTAACATTTAGAAAAAAAAGCCAAATCAAAGTCATGTAAAAAAAAAAACATTAAAAAAAAAAAAATATTAATTTAAAAATTGAAATGTTATGATTTTGTCTCCCCAAACCTTTACATGAAACCTCAATATTAACATAAACAAAAAGACAATTTTTCATTTGGTTCGTTTTTAACCAGTGTTATTTTAATATTGTTTACATACTTGGTGTTTATTACTATTTCAAAGGAGCTTTTGTTTTTATTTACATTTTTTTGTTTTAGTTTTTATTTTAATTTGTTTTTGTAATTTTTGTTTTGTGGTTTTAAATTTTTTTTTCCTTTTTATTTTTTTTTAAATTTTTTTTAGCTATTTCATATTTCTATTTATTTTCATTTCAGTATTAGTCATTTTAGTACTTCATCTTATTTTTTTTTCAGTTAGTTGCAAAGCATTGTTTCTAATTTATTTTTTTCATCTAGTACTTATATTTTATTTTATTAAAGATTTATTTCAATTTACAAAACGATTTTTAATAGTTTTAGTTAATAATAACAACATTGGCTTTAACATTTTTTCCCTTTTCTTTTTGTGGGCACACTGATTACTCTTTGTCTGTCATTTATTTGGCTTATTTGTATTTCAGACCCCCAAGACCCCTGCTCTAGCTGCTGCAGGATTTGGTAAACAGTCGAGTGAGGCAGTGTTTGGGGATGTTCCCACACAGGCCAATGGTTCTTCCCAGGAGGACAAGCCTTTTGGCTTTCCTTTTGGAGCTGCGAAGGAGTCACAGAGGCAGGACTCTGATCCCTCACAGAACCTGTTCTTCCAAATCATGTCTCAGAACCAGAGTATCACGCAAGGCCAGTCAAAGGCCTTCAAGTCATTGTCCGAGTGCCTGAACAAGGAGCCGCCCAGCCTGTTCAAGCCTGCCGCTCCCTCCGAGGGTTTCAAAAAGGCGGTTGTAGCTTCTGCATCCGCTGGACTGTTTGGTTCAGCACCTGCTAGTGGCCTGGCACCAATGAAAGAGCCGCCAAAAGTGCCTGATATCAAGCCTGCAGGCAATGGGATCCTAATGAACAAGCCTTTCGGAGCGGTGGGGGAGGCGCACAGCAAACTTCCAGCCGCTTTTCCATCAGCCACAGGTCAAGCTGCGAGCTCTGCAGAGGCTCTGAATCCCTCTTTGGGATTAGGAACCAGCGGACTTGGAAGTGCCAGAAATGTGAACAGCTCGAGCCCAGTCAGCAGTTTTGGTCTGCTGGCTGGCAACAAGGTTTCAGAAACTCACGAGAACCTTTTCCTACAGGCCACGAAGGAAACAAATCCATTTCTTGCTTACGGCGGAGCTGTTTCGCACAGCCCTTTTAGTGCATTGTCAACTCCCAAGTCGTCATCTGCGCTGTCCGCGTCTGCTGTCTCACCTTCAGGCAGCTCCGGTCTACTTGGTCAAGATCCTCCTGGTGGTGATGCCAAACCAAATCTGTTCACCATGGCAGAACCTCCTAAGGGAATCTTAGCCCCCCAATTCCCTGCTCCTGCTCTCACGACCACTCCATCATTCACTTCGGCTGCCCAGGATGGACAACAAACGTCCAAACCAGACAAAGAGGGTTCAGATGGCAGCCCGGGAACTCGCCTCGACACCGAAGGCCAAGATGTGGCTATGCCTTTCGACCAAACCAAGTTTTCTTTGGAGGAACGCAGTCAGTCCATCAAAAGAGATTCAGAGTCCAGTAGCAACAGTGACCTGTCTGATTTGAGCGAGGGGGAGGACAACTCCGGCCAGAGCCAGAAACCTGTGGTTTCCTCAGCCATTGAGGATAAGAACAAGACCCAGCCTGTGGCTAAGAGCCGGCCACGGAGCAAACCCATCAAAGGTAATGTGCTTGACTACTGCATGCTGTGTACTTCATGAGTTGGTTTGGTACTCATTCTCATGTCGATCTAAAACTGTATGAGTTCCTTTATACTGTGAAACTTTGTGAGAGCATGATTATAAAGAGTAGATGAATTTACCTGTTCGTTATGATGACATATGTCCCCGGCAAACTTTGCAGTCCCATTTAGCCACTTTCTAGCAACCAAACCCACTTTAAAGGGTTAGTTCACCCAAAAATGAAAATTGTGTCATTAATTACTCACCCTCATGTCGTTCTGAACCCGTAAGACCTCCGTTCATCTTCGGAACACAAATTAAGATGATTTTTGATGAATTCTGAGAGCTCTCTGACCCTCCCTTAGACAGCAAGGATACTACCACGATCAAGGTCCAGAAACATAGCAAGGATGCAGCCGCGTGACGCAGCT